ATAATTTTTTTCGAGTATGTCTAAGGAAGTATTTTTTAATTAACACTACAAGTACCCGAGGGGTAAAAATGACTTGCTTTCAAATTAATAAGTTATTTAAGAAAAGACAGAAATTTTTATCGTAGACGGTAGATCTTGTATTAAAGAAGAACTCAATGTGTGGTATTACAAAAAGTACTTATATACTATTTCCTATGTAAAACACTTAAGAGACGTTAAGTTCGATTTACCCTCAAGCCACCGTCTATTACAATCGGATTTCAATATCATGGAGTCAATTTTCATCTAATCATCGTCACAGGCACACTCAGGAGACGTCGAAGTTAGATCGGATTAAAAAGATCATATAATTGGCCGTTGTATAATCCCGCACCCCCGGAGGAGTTCCTACAGGAAATAACAGTCCTTTTTAAGCTCTCCCCACTTACCTGTTCGCTTTTACCCGCAGGCGGTGTTCGTCTATGAAATATGCACGTACCAGATGCCTAGTTATGGCCACTACGTATTCCCCTGGTGGGCGAACGGAATCGGAATACTGATCGGCCTGTCGACTCTAGCACCGATGCCGTTGTTCTTCGTTCATCGCTTCTGGAAAGGACCGGTAAGTTTGCGAGAGCACGCGGAGAGGCTGCGACAACAATCGTTGACAAATCGGATACGCATAATCGATTTGTCTCGGACTCGGTATAAAGCGCATTAATTCGGCAGCCGATTTACCGGGAGTCGAACGCTATCGAACAGCCGAGCTTATGCCCAAAGCGGGGCCGGGCTACAAGCTGAATCGAGATATCAGCCGGGCGTAATGCTCGACAAACTGGGGATTATTATGCAAACTGCGCGCCGTTTTTACGATACGCCACCGGGCCGAAGCACCGCCGGCGCTCACCGTCGAGCTGCCCTCCTGCTGTTTAGAGTTTACGGCGATTCAGACTGTAACAACCTTATTTTAAAAGCTGCCGGTCCAGACTCGCGGGAGGGGGCGAACCAATCACGCCGGAAACTTTTTGAGAACGTCCGCTCTCACTTTGAAAGACGCAACGGAAGCACTGCTGAGTTTTACTGTCAAGCAGTTTTGACAAGAGAATTTATATTCTTACGCTCTCCCTACCTGGATTTTGCAAATATTTACCTCTTTGGCGAGACGGTTTAATTTCGTTTCTCCGTTTTATCCTCGCAATTGTATTTGAATGTGATTCTCCTTTTGAAAATTATGAATTTATTGCGATTTTTTTGTCTGTCGTTATTCTCGTTTTCTCATAACGAAATTAAAGTTTCATCCGTAGAGACATCACTTTATTTTATAATTTCATACAGGGCGTCCAGAAAGGATGGATCCAAAATTATACTTTGTACTATATTTTATAAAAAGAGAAAAAAGTAGTTTAAAACAAGCAGTATTGTTTAATTTTCTATGATTCTGAATAATAGGGAAATTTGATACTTGGATTCTTATATCGATTATTGTTATTAAACCGACTGGTTTGGAAATGCATTAATTTTCAATTAAATTATGTTCTAGCTGTAATAAAGATACAGCGTATCAATTAATTATCTTTCGCCCAATATTGTAACGAATATTATGACAAATTTGCGCACAACCGCGGTTATTGCGTATTAGCGCTTTAATTTATGATGACGCAATACTCTATTGGCAAGAAACGCAGTCAATATTGAACATTTGAAAATTGTTTACCGAAACGAATATCTGATACCGTCGAGGGTCTGTTTTATTCATGAAGATCGCAATAAAGCGAAGCTCTAACACATAAATAAAGTCGGTTCGATATCTTGTTTTAGAGAGACCAACTTTTCACAATTTAAACGACGGATTATTTGACGAACGTTAAAGGAGAACTGGTAGTTCAGTTCATCAACAGTTTTAATATAATAACCAACCATATTTTTCGGTGTTACTTTCATACGCTAAATCATATTTTCATAGAGTAGCACCTAAAAATTCTGGAACTCATGAAACATTTATTATCTCGCAACGTACGGTTTATTAAAATCTGAAACTCAATGCAAATTAATTTATTTAGCGTACAGCCTGGGACGATTATTACTGGCTAACTCCAGCTTATGTTAATTTATTCAAGGAGATGAGATTAAAAAAGTGTAATAAAAGTACGTCTTGATAAATAATTATGTAATTTTATTAATTGAAATTGAATGTAAAAAAAATGTGGAAACATAGACAGTATTTATAAATTAAGAAAATAATAAACATTCTTCGTTCATTTATTCATTACATTTTTATTTCTTCATTTCTTTTTGTACTTATTTATTATTTATTCACTTGTTGGCTGAATAAATNACTGAAATATATATCACATATACCTTTAATTTATCTCTATTATTAGTAAAGAATTTAGTGTTTTGTATCCAGAGAAGAATACACAGTTAGAATTGCAATTACAATTTTGGTTGCGACCCGCTGTTATGTTTATGAAGAACAGAGTCGTAGCCAAGAATACGTTCGGAGTATGCAAACGAACGGTTATCGTTGGACGTTTCGCGATATCGTGGCCACGGTCCAACGAACCCTGAAATTTCTTAAAACCTGCTCACTGTCCGGCCGCGGTTTAAGACCCGCGGGAGGTGTTCACCGTTTTAAAAGTTGCCCGGCCCCTCGCTAGGGGTTGAAATCTTGCCGGAAGTTCAAAACGTCTTAATACAAGTTTTTCCACGGTACGTAGGTAATCGTAGTTTGAAACGAAAAGTTTCGTACTGCGCTCCATCGTACGGATCGAACCTATTTCAACCGTACTCACTGCTGACCCTTTTCTTGACCGCTCCCGCGCTTTGTATTATCCGATAAATTTACTATTGCTCTTATCTCTCCTTCCACACCCCGCAACCTGTTTTCGACTCACCCCGCAGAGTTCGCAAGTACTTGCGCGGTTCGGTGAGATATGAACACGACCGAGGAGAAAATCTCCGCGTAGAAAGCGGAACCTCGCTTCTCACATATACTAATGCTTTTGAACAAATGTTATCCACTTATCCGTATTTTATATTAGAAGCTTAGAACCGGTGACGGAATAGAAGAATTCATGACGAGATCGCGAAATAATTAGATAAAATGATTTAACTCGAGGGCGTCCAGAGGAAAACTGTCTGAAATTAATATATAAAATATTTGTAAAACTTGTGTAATTTAGAGAATCGCATTAAACGTAGTCGCGTAAGCCCGCTGTTTAAAACTAGGTAGAATCTACAATTTTATTCCGTCTGGTAGCGCGGCGTAGTTGAAACTGTGCGCCCGGAGAGCATTGACTCAAACTGTTTGCACAAATCCCGGTTTGCACCGGGTTCACTCTTCAAAGAATATGACGTTCGTTTTAATTGTCCGCAGAGGGACCGGAGTTTGTTTCAACCGAAGAAGTCGTGGGGACCGGCTACGGGAAAAAATAGGGATAACGACAGCTCGTCCACGGCGTCTCTCAAGATTTCGCAACCGGGCGAGGATACCTCGCAGAAAGACTGCGTCTAGTCAATCTAATAAGGTCGCCTCTTTTTTACGTGATTCTATTTATAGTTGTTTCGATATTAACGAATTGATACGAACTGAAAATGTGTTTTTTAATGGTCCCGATTTCCCGAATTCTTGTAATCCTTATATCGTCGAACGCTGCAGATAGAATTTTCTTTTATACTTTGTTGCTTCCGGTACGGTACGTGTACACGTTTCACAGATTCTAAAACAACACGCCCGAGGAAATACAAGGACGCCAAAAAGAGAACGCTGTTGTAACGAGAGCAGTATTATTGCGTTCGGCTAGAAACAGTGAGGCAATACTGGTACACATCTCGTTTCACGATTCAATTTCCATTCTTTGAGACTAGAATTATGAATAATTTTCATTTACCGGTTGGAACGGAAATTGTGGTGATTCAGCGTTAGGAAATAAAACAAAAATTTCGTATAACGTCTCTTCGTATAAAGTTTCGTTCTGGATGAAAACGATTGACATTTGAACTGTGAAATATGATTTGATTGTTTTTCAATCAACATCTCTCGATGTCCATTTATAGGGATTCGAAAAGAGTATTCAGAGCCTTGCATGTTTCAAGCGAAAAATTATTGAAGGGTTAAATGAAATGCGATGGCACATTATAGTCTGTTATTTCTAATTCGCAGAGCATGGAGGATATTTTTAAAGTAATAATAAGAAATGGAAGACGAGGTCTGCATCGTCTGCAATCATGTCACTGTCAACGTTTATTGACATAAAGACTGATCAGAACAACGACAATCAAATTGTATTTAAGTTGTTCAGACTTCAAAATCGATTCTTTCATTAGAAGCTCTAAATGAAAAATAATACGTCGAGCTTTTTCCACGTAGCATCTATTATTTACTAACGCGATCGTACCAACCTGTATAAATATAACTGAATTAAATCACGTTTAGGGGTGATTTTTAAATAACCTGTAAAGAAAATTTCCATAGCAGTGGGAACGTTTTCCTCTACGTTGGCCGCCACTCGAGCGTGTGCGAGTCGACGTCGCGCGGTAATGTAACCGCGTTATAATCACTGGCCAGGGTGGCTGGTGGAAAAGTGGCAAATGTCGCGCGCCACCGTCCCGTGTTCCCTCCTAATTAATGCGACGGAATATCTGACGGTACGAGAAATTCCGCGTCCTCGATGCGACGATGCGATGGCGTGGCAATATCTCGAATCGCTTGTACTACCCCCGTCTTATGGGGAATGCACGCGGCGTGGCGCGGTTCGGCGCGGATGGCTAATGAGAATTTCGCTCGATTTCTGACCTGCCCTGGACCTGTCCAGCCCCGGTCGATCCACCACCGCGTGCCGACACGCGATCGATTCCCCCGGACCGGGATGGACGTGAGCTTTTGCCAGGAATATGGCCACGTAAAATTGCTTCTCGATCCCTGAATTATCCGTGCTATGCATTTTTATAAGTTTGACGCGCTTCTTCGATCCAGGCGGCCGGCCTCTCGAAGGAAAATAAACGAGAAAGAGTGACTCGATGTGTGATTTACTCGACTTAAATGTAAGTAAAATGAAGAGTTCTCAATCTGATCGATTGACATCGAATCAGTAAGCCATTAAATATTTGTAGGAATTAATTAATTTCGAATCCGTTTGCACGTCGATCAGTTACACGGTACATAATAATTACTGTTTCGTGCGCGTGCTAGTTAACTTTTTTGTTAATTTAATAAATATCAATTTCAGTAATAGCCGCAAATGAACGACTGTAATTGACAGTCGGCCGTAATAACATCAAGTTTCTAAACACATCGTTAATTTGACGTACCAATTAATATTTCATCATTATTATCGCTGATCGAACCGTTTCCTGCAGTTATAAACCGTCGCGTGTCACATGGTTTACCAATAAACGAATTTCATTTTTTATTTGTTGGTCGTTCAGGTTTTTAATTAAAGGAATTTATTGCAAACCTCAAAGAGGAATTTGTTAACCGTCAAGTTTGCTCGTAGTGTTCGACGACTTGAAATTTTATATCGGCGTTATCGATCGGGACTCGTCGTTTTCTCTTTTTCGTCGAGGCAAATTCAAAGGGGGCTCAATTATTTGGATTGCACGTTATAAGAGTAAAGATTGCAGTGTTTGTTCAGCCATTCGATCGCGATGCGCGAAATTAGGTCGAAAATGTGAGGATGAAAAATAAATTGAATATTCGATGGGTTTGGGATTCGAATGATAGATAAAGCTTAGACGTTGATTCAGAGGCAAATATATTTTTTTCACAAATATCCCGATATTTCCCATTCGATTTTAAAATCGCCCACCAGTCGCTTTTTCGATTATGCAACCTCGAAATATTCTCCACGTTGCTAATTGTCAGGAAAACAAGGCTACAATTCAATAGTATAATCAGCTAGATGCAGCCCCATTCACGAAGCATTTCACGTTTCAATCATGTTTCATGAAACTCGAAAATAGAATTTTTGAATGCAAGCTTCTGTGAATATATATTATATTTTATACAATATGTACTTCGTTCATTGAAAAGTAAAATTATAACGTGAAAGAAATTCTATTTTAGAATTTTGAGAAAATATGATTTTACACGTTACAACCGGAAATTACTGTTTCTATCTATTGTTTTATTTCTATACTATCCTCGATTGTTAATCAAGTGTGGTTGGGAACGATTCTTCCACAGAAATCAAATTTTGGCACGGGAACGAAGTTGCACTTTCGATTTATTTTCTCAATGCTCGCTCTGCCAAACAGTAAAATTGTTGAATTAATTCGCCTGAGCGAGAGAGAGGCTTCGACAACAGCCTGCTGAAACGTAAACAAGTTTCAGCGGAATTCGAGGAGCAAAACGAGAGCGCAGGAAATGGAAGATGAAGCGGAAGTCGGGGAGGAAAAAAGGAGCGTGGATAAGGAGGCGAGGATCGGCTGGAAGGGAAGGAAAGCCGCCGGCTATAATCTTGCCGCGATAACGAAGTAATCGCCGCGGCTAGTTTATAACGATTTAAAGGGAAATTTATGTCGGCGAAAGGAGGAGCGAACTGTTCCGACGCAGCTGTAACGTGGGCGCGCGCCGCGAAATTAGGTAACAACTTCGATAACGCGAACCGGCGCATGCTGCTAGCGGTGGGTGTGTTCAGGCCAGGTTTACATCTGAGCGAAACAGCAACGGAGAAAAACAAGTAAGTAAAGTAAATCTCCCAATTTCTACTACATAATAATCAGCGTGATTTCGCTACCAACTGGACATAAAAACAATGTGTATATCAAAATACATAATATAAAAAAGTATTTTCTGTGGAATTTACATTCAGTTGAATCAGCCAAAAAAAATCATATGCAATCAATTCTTCCTGTAAAATGAAGGCTTGAAGTTTTGCACACCCCTAATGTCTTATAATATGTATAATAAAATATATAATTATATATTAATGATATGAATTTTTCTATTAAATGACTAAATATTTACCTCTTATTGTTAGTTATCTCTAGTTTTAAGAAATGTATGAACAAAGTATCATTATTATAATATATTTATCAATGGCCACGTTAATTGATCGAAGTTATAAGAGATCACGATTTTTTTATTTAAAAGCAATTTGAGATTTATTTGGATTTAATTACTTGTCACACGTGAACTTCATGTAACAAATCCCGGTGATGTGTCACTGTCGTACGAGCATCGTTAATTACTTTCGTTTTTTTTAGCCTACGGTTATCTACGCGCCGATAGGCTTTTTTTACGATAATCGCGATAACGGACGTACTTTGTAGTAGAAGCAAAGCCCCTGCCCCTCTCTCTCACTCGTTTCCTTTGAAAGCGACGAACGATGTTTAAGTAAACTCCTCCTTTGCGTATTTATATCGCGCCGCGTCTCCGAGAAACCGGGCCAAAGTAACTTTACGTCCCACGATGAAAGATATCTGGCGATAAAAACCCGTGATACATAGAGATATCCGAGATAAAAAAAGAGGAACGGGAAATCTGTGCCGGGAGACTAACGGCAGTGAAAAGTTGACGGTCAGCTAGTATCGCCGCGGAGGTAAATGGCAGGGAGACAGGTAAAAAAATAATTAGAAAACGATTCATTTATTTGGGGTATTTCTACGGCAGGTCAGCACTCGCAATTAGTCTTTAATTCTCGTTAGTTTTCTACGTGCACTCATTCGCTCGCTCGCTCTTTGGCACCACGGCGTGGATGGTAGCCGCGGTTCGCCGTTAATTGAACCCCGGATCTACTTGCCCACTGACGCCGCGGACGAAGGAAAACCGCCGACGGAGAATTACTCCGTCAGAATCGAGCCGTGATTTTCACATTCTCCCTCTCCTTCTCTTCCCCTCTCTCTCTCTCTCTCTCTTTCTCTTCTATCGCACGAATTGGTTTCGCCGTACGTCGCATTCGGAAATTCGGTTGGCAAGTTTCGACCAGGAACTTGTGACGGACGTGCGCCGTTCGCCTCGGAAATTGTTGCAATATCTCTGTCCGATGTCGTTCGATTCAAGAGTTGATCTCAGAATTATTTGGCATTTTGTTCTTGTGCACGTTCATCGGCGAGTATTCGTTAAAAATATGTCACAAAGGATGTCTTCACTTTTAACGTTTAACATAAGTCACACAAATATGTATATACATATACTAGGAAAATTGAGATCATAATTATTTTATAATTAATAATTATAAATATATGCTAGAAATAAAAAATGTCAGATACATGAAGAATATAAAAATTTCATATACAGAGTGTCCCAGAAAAAGTGTTAAATTATGTAAGTGTTTCTGAACAACAATTTCAATATTATTATTGGGAAACCTATTTAGTGATCTCCGGATATATGGGCCACCGATGGGGACTAAGCTTGGCCATACATTCGGAGATTACTGTACTTTATAAATAACGCTAAGCCTATGTTCACATTGCAAATGTAACGTGGACAATGGACAATACTTACCATCCCATCTAAATTCGCACTCTATTCTGTTGAACAAGTCGAGATTTATATGATTGCCGTTAATATCGCGCCGTTGGGTTCGTTTACGGTTAGATTTGGGTTGGGCACAGTTCTCGCTCGCTCTTGCGTGCCATTTCCCAAATCCTTCAATTACTTTGCGGCTCTCCTCCCAAAAGCTCTTAAAACCTGGCGCTATTCTAAAGTCGTTGCAGCTTCTGCTAATCCGCAAGTGTAAAACCCTCCACGTATTATTATTACTCTATTAACCAGTCTAGTCCAGTGGCATCAGATTCATTGACCACAGTTGGTCGCAGCTCGCATTTTATTTGTTTTTCACAATCCTACGACGTACACGAAGCATGCAAAACGTTCATATTTTGTAAAAGGCTTTTTCCTAACATTTGACCTCCTAGGCATTTTTTTTGCCAGGATACAGTCTTTATATTTATGTGCAACACAGGATGGAGTTATCGTGCTGGACATTTTTTCGTGCAGCCGGTGGATAAAAGATAAAAATATCTTCACTCTTAGAACGTTGTACATATACGTATATATGTATTTATTGCATGTACACCTTTCTCAAAGACATTTCATTGTACATTCGCATATATGAATATATATTTTTTGTTTAAACGAGTGAACGACTCCGGTGGGATAGCAGAATTCGCAAAATTCTAGGCATTACGTAGACGAAAGTTCGGTGAAATTTCTACGGTTATGGCACGATTCACGGGAAAGTTGAAAACCTCAGGCTGGTTTTATATTGCGAACACGTTTCAAAAGCGAGATAATAAAAATCACTGACTAGAAAAGTGCTTGCCTCGGTGTGAGTAATATCGCGGTGGTCCCAACGTATAAGCAAGATTTTTGCGGAACGCGGGATAGGTAGCGGTACTACGGGAGCGGAACTAAAAGTAGAATTGTCTCGAATGCTAACGAAACAAATTCAGTAACCGGGAACGAGTCCTTGCTCCTTGCCATCGCGTGTCCTATTAATAATTCATAAGGTAATTCTGTTGGAAATATGTATGTTGACATTTGTAATAATGACAACAATAGCAGTCCATTAGACCGACGTGCATTGCGATGTAAATTCAGTTTATACAAATAAGGGTTACGCGTTTATGAATATTAATTGACGATTGTTGGAATAATAATTACTTATTACAGGCGAGTAATTAAAGGGCGATGCGGCACTTTAAATGATTTTATTATTAGGAACGAACGACCCGGGCGTCGTTTCATCAGAATAATGGACATCGTTCGTTCATAACTGTTTGAAACCGTAAATGAAGCGTCGAGGATTATCCTCGTTTTCAGGAAATGATGTATCAAACGAAATCACAGAAGTGATATCTCGTCGCATTCTCTCCGACATCTTATAGCTCGCAATCGAGCCGTTAAATTGGTCGAATCAAACGGTTTAAGCTTTTCGATTCAGCTCGAGCGGCGTTGAAGCGTCGCATCTTTCCACGGAACGAGTCCTGACAAAGGGCGAGCAAAAACAGTTAAGTCCTTTGATCCGCGACATTTGAACTCGCAACAAAATCTCCCGTTCCCTCCCTCATTTTCGGATCCGAGGTTAATTGTAACTTAGTCGTCGTTGTGCTAGGCCACTTTTCCATTAACGGGCCGGGGCGCGGCAATTAACCAGAATTTCTATGAGATTTCGTGCGCCCGCCTCAAAGGACGTCTCGAAATTTATTGTTTCGATTTATTATGCAGTCTGCACACTCGTTACCGTGCCGTTTACCTCTACCTGCCCCGCCGAGCCTCCGCCTCTTTGGTATCCTTTTTCTCTGTGTGTACACGCTGGCCCTAAACCATTTCTTCCAGTCCTCCCAGCGGTAACAAGCTTACCGTGCCTCTCTCGGTCGCGAACGCGCGCATAATGGAGGATTTAAATTACCAGCTAAGGTGGACCGAATTTGAATTCGGATCTATTTTATAATCCGGGCTATTAAAGTTGTCGCGGAATTTGCATTCCCTCTGGCCTAGCGCGTCGCGCCGCCTCGGCTCGCCGGAAATTTTTGGTCGCAATGGGAGCCACCAGCGTGACGCTCCCGACGAATAAAATTCATGAAGCCCGTTGTACCCCGTGCACGCGTGCGTACGTCTGTTCCCGTGTACTTATTGTCTAGCCACCGCTGGATCTGCACTTTGTTTCTAATGATTCGTCCCTACCTTCTTTCGCGTTTTACTCTTGTTCAGTGAA